AAGATTGCTTAGTCATGGTCAAAAATTAAAATTTTAAAATTTAAACTTAAATGTTTTTGTTTATATGAGAATAAAATTATTATAATCAGCATAATTTTACTTTACTAAGTCATATACAATAAAAAAAATTATTTCATCAAAATCGGCGCATATTTGTTAATGTTACAAGGTCCACAAATATTTCACATTCAAAAATATGAATAAAGACACATGACTCTGTATTTGAAACTAAATTTGTTGTTCAGTTCATTTTTTTTTGCATAAGATACAAGAATATATATAATTCTAAAAATAAAACATAAAATTTATAAAGAAACTTAATTTTTTTCCGATAACTGACATATAATCTGTATACATACCGGGGTATGTTGGGTATTGATACACGAGGTAAAAATAGAAAATATATCTATATAGATATATATATATATATATCTAACTAATTTTTGGAAAATGTATAGAAAACTTTACTCTGAAAGCATAGTCCAAATTACAAGCCGATATGATGTATAGACCTCGAGATATATCACTTCAAAATTGAAAAACATACACGGGTATGTGGGTATTGACATAACGGTTAAGTCAATTATGATCGTTAGAGTAATTTTTTTAAAGGGGCCTTATATTGGGGTTGGTCAATTATGGTTCGATGTCCGCAATACATCACATAAAAAACTTGTGCAAAATTGTATCTCAATTGCTGCCTAAAGGCCCAAATAGACTACACAAGCGGCTTGACAAACATACCAATATTTTACGTTTGTGCAAGCCTGTTGTGTAGTGTATGAGGGTGTTTCGTGTTTGTACAAATGCTTGCGGTTCGTTTGTACAAAAATTAAAAAAATTTGATTTTTACACAAACATATTGAATTTTTGTCAAACCGTTTGTATTGCTTATATTCATTAACAACAAAATTTTCACAAAATTTCCATTTCTAAGAAAAATTGACATCTGTATCTTTGCAAGTCCACAAAAACGTGAAAAAATCGGTGTTTGTACGAGCAATGTTTGTGTAGTGTGTGTGCGAATGAAAAAAGTATGTTTGATAAGCCGCTTGTGTAGTCTATTTGGGCCTTAATTAATATACATAACTATGACACTTTATACTGTCGCCCCACTCTAATAAACTTTTATATCTTTATATAACAAGTGTTAAAAACGCAATCAAGTGACGCACAAACATTCATTTGTAATGTTTTAATAAACAAACATTTTGTGGCTCTTTTAAAACCCATGTTTTGTGAACTGTAAGTTTTGGCTCTTCCGACTCAAAAGTTTGCCGACCCCTGGTCTAGACTATTGACTATAGTCTATAATCTAGGCAATTGACTAGTCTATAGACTAGACTATTGACAAGTCTATAGATTTGTATTGATATAGTCGAGACTATTGTCTAGTCTAGTTTATAAACTAAACTATAGACTATACTATATTGTAGACTATAGACTAGACTATAAGCTAGAATAGTCTGTAGGCTGGACTATAGAATATACTAGTTTACAATGTAGTCTATAGTCTAGACTTTAGACTTGGTTATAGGCTAGACTGGACTGAATCATATGTTCAATTCACAATCAAGTTGTATATTGTACCTACTAAAGTGTACTAACAGTGATTGTGAACAGATCTTTGCAGCAAGTCGTAAGTTTATGTTCTCAATGAAAAAAAAAAAAAAAAAAAACAATCAAAACAAATATACATAACAATGTCAAAAGATAAAAAAATCAAAACATTTTAATTTAATTAAACATGCGAAATAAACCAAATTAATTTCTTTGAATTTTGAATTCTTTCATTTTCTTTATTAAACATTTTAAACTGTTTTTAATCAAATTTTAATTTTTTTGTTTTGGTAAAAGCTGTTTGTTTTTGATTTCAGTGTTACCACTTTATCGTTTTTTATGCTAAAATCTTTTGAATATTTCGTTTATATGTTGAAAAAAACAATTGGCAACACTAAACTTTCTTACAACATTCGAAAAACATATGAAAAATTGTCGTAGAAGTTGTATAGAGCTTTTGCATAGAAAATACCAACAACATTGTTATGACTATTATAGCAGCTGCTGACATACAACGCATACAACGCTACAACATCGATTGTGAATTGAACAATAGTTTTAATATTATTATTTATTTGATTTTTTCTGTAAACTATTTACAAGTAGAAATTTATAACCGATTTAGAAATTTAAATTAAGAAAATCATATTTTTTTTTATAAATTTTCTTTATTATCGTGGTAATATTAATAACTGGATTAGCTATATAAAAAAACCAACAGTCTTTCCGTAGAATTTTTATATATGTTTATATTGAAACGGAACTTCTCCCTCTTCAATAAAATATTGGGAGAATTCTTCTCGTATTACTGAGGTTTCTTGATTAACATATGAGCGGTGTGGTCGGAGGTTTGGTAAATTTTGGTCGATGTCATTCCGCCACTCACCAGGGATTAGAGTGCCATCCTCGGAATAGTGGTCAACCAATTTCGGATTGAAATATACGGTTTTTTTTGGGTCATCAAAAAATTGTGCAGAGCACAGCAAGCACAAGTTATTGTGCGTACTTTCGTGGGTAAAAGCATTATTGCGCTTCGTTATATTCTAAAACGAGCAGATAGAATTCCGAAAGCATTTTCTATAACCCTTCTCGCTCTTGACAATCTATAATTATAAATTCTTTGTGTTGCCGTTAATGTTCGCAAGCTATAGGGTTTTAACAAGTGTGGTGAGATAGCGAATGCATCATCAGCAACAAGCACATATGGTACCGGAATATTTCTAGATGGAAGTGGTTCAGAAGGTGGCAAATTAAGTTTATTATTGGTCATAGCTTCATTGAAGGAACTTTTGCGAAAAACGCCACCATCTGATATCCGACCATTTGATCCAACATCAATATACAGGAATTTATAAGATGCATCCGAAATCACCATTAGGACTATGCTCTGTGTACCTTTACAAAATAGCGGATAGGAATTTAAATAAGTCATATTTTATTGTTTAGGAATTCATTTTACCTTTATAATTGTAATAAATACTTCCTGAATGTGCTGGTGCTTTCATAACCACGTGCTTTCCGTCTAAAGCTCCTATGCAATTGGGAAAATTCCACTTATGCAAAAACTCCTCAGATATAGCTTTCCATTCTTCGATGGTGTCTATATTTTGATAATTAAAGAAATTAGTGTATTCCAAATAACCGTCAGTTAATGGTACCTTTAAATATTCCGGCTGAAGTACATTGTAAATTGCATTACAAACTTCTGGAACTATAACCGAGATTGTATTAAACGGTATCCGAAATACAAACTGGAGAGATCTAAAACTCTCACCTGTTGCCAAGTAACGAAGAGTAACCGCTAAACGTTCGGTGGCAGAAATGGGTTCCCGGAATCTTGTAGTCTGCTTCGTTATTAGAGGCTTAACTAGATTTAACTAAGGAAGCTATTAAAAGGTAATTAGGAATTTATATTACAACATAGAAACTTGCCAAATAATCAAAATCTTTTGCCTTCATTCTTAAAAAGTTGTGATACAGTGTTGGAGTTTCCAAGCGAAGCTCTTTCAACAACTTTGCGCAACACCCTTCCTCTTTTCGCCTTCGCACCCACTCACGAACCCATACTCTTTCTTGTTTTTCTTTTTTCCCTTCCAAAAGAATTACTGATACAGCACCACAGCATAAAAGAAGAAAAGTATCTTCATTATTCATTTCAAACAAATAAATTTCTGTTTGTTTACTATTTCACTAAACAATTATTTCACACAAATATTTTGTTCAATCTGAACGGGCGGCAAGTTTTTTCTGTTTATATTTTTAGCTATTTGACAGCTGTTTAATGAAACAAAAAACGACATATTTTGTCACAATGTGAACATAAAACCAACTCTGTTTTTATTTCATATGTTTTACAACAAACAAGTGAAAAAATATTTCATGCAAATATTTCATAGGTGTGAAGGTACCTTTAGTAAGAAAACGAAACCAAGAACTAAGCAATACGTAAGCAGCACACGCAAAACTGTTTTTACTGTTCAGTCGTTGTGTTCAGTTCGGCTGAGTTGAAAAACTTAATATGGCCGCTGCTTGTGTGTGTGGCTGCTGAAGATAAACAAAACCACTTGCAAGTTATTGCAGCAATGTGTTGACACAGTTGACTGACTTCAGTTAGCTTGTAAGGGGAAATTTTAACGAGTTACTATTTTTTAAGCATGGTACTAAATTTAGTCAAATATTTAGTAATTTGCGACTGCAATTAGCAGTTTTTTGAAACCCTGATTTTCACAGCGTATTCCTGTATGTCTGGAATAGGTAATAGGCTACTTCTTATTTTGAAATTTCAAGTGGGCGAGGTGCCACGCCCATATTAGAAAATATTAAATCCGTATATTTGAGATAATATAACAGTTAGAGTCCTCAAATTTTGTCGGAGCCACTTTAGTGTCAATATGATTATTTAGGACAAAAAGCAGGCGGACTAGTATTAGGAGGCGTGGCACCTCCCATATAAATTAAAAACAAATATTCGTTTATCTTAGAAACAATTACAGTTAGAATTTTAAAATTTTGCACAAATAACTTTAACATCCATGTTAACATTTTGGGAAATAAATTGGTGGACTACTTATGAGGGGAGCAGCACCTCCCATATTAATTAAATACAAAAATTAATTTATCTGGGAAACTAATAGAACTAAATTCTTCAAATTTTGCATAAATTACTTTAATATTCAACTGAACATTTTGGGGGAAAACGAGCGGACTTTCATATGGGGGGCGTGGAGCCCCCATATGAATTAATTAGAAAAAATCGTATATCTTAGAAACTATTAGAGCTAGAATCTTCAAATTTTACTTGAAAAACTGTGACATTCATCTGAACAATTAGAGTATAAAGGGCGAACTTTTATGGGGAACTTGACAACTCCCATATGACTTAAATATAAAATTTCGTTTATCTGGGAAACTAATAGAACTAGATTCTTCAAATTTTGCAGAAATTATTTCAGTAATCATCTGAATATTTTGGAGGAAAAAGATCGGACTTTCATCTGGGGAGCTTGAAGCCCCCACATGAATGAAATAGAATAATTGTATATCTGGAAACTACTACAGCTAGAATCTTAAAATTTTACATAAAAAACTCTGACATTTAGAAAATAACGGGCGAGCTTTCAATTGGGGGCTTGGCACTACATAAATGAATTAAATACAAAATTTCGTATATCTTGGAAACTATTATATTATTAAAATTTTTCATAGATAGATAGAAATTGGCAAACTTTCAGTAATTTGCTTGGCATCTCTAATATGTAACATATTGTAAATCTAGAGAACTATTGCAGTTAGAATCTTCAAAATCGTTAAGTGGGTTTTTTATTTATACTGCTTTTAGGGTAGCAAAGCACACTGGGTAAAGCTAGTGTTTTAATAAACAAACATTTTGTGGCTCTTTTAAAACCCATGTTTTGTAAACTGTAAGTTTTGGCTCTTCCGACTCAAAAGTTTGCCGACCCCTGGTCTAGTCTATAGTCTAGTCTATAGTCTACACCATTTTTAAGTGAAATTGAGAACATTACGTATTAAATCGAGAAAAATCCACATGAAATTGAGAATTTCCATTTCATATTAAAAAAATTCCAATTCAAATTGGAAAAATTGGAGAAAATTCTAAATTAAATTGAGAATTTAAATTGAGAGAATTCTAAATAAAATTAAGAATTTCCATTTTATATTGAGAAAATTTCAATTGAATTTGAGGTTTTCAGTTTCAAATTGAGAATATTCTAAATGAAAATGCGAATTTCCATTAGAAATTTAGAAAAGTACAATTGAAATGGAGAATTTTGAATTGAAATTGAGAAAATTCCAATTGAATTTGGGGAACTTTCAAATTAAATTGAGAAAATTACAAATGATTTTCAGAAAATTTTAATTTTTAATTTGCAAATAAATATATATGTATGTAGTGCAATACATAAATGTTCCGTGAAAGCTTAAAATTTGAACATTTTGACAATCATTTCGAAAAATTCTGCGAAACTTTTTATACTTTATACTGGGATCTGAACTTTTAACCTAATCAGCGGGAAATTCAGACCACATTTTAATATTTTTTTTACTTTGACGTATTCAGACTACCAACACATATCGCTTGACAATCGGTGGATTAACATTGGAATTTCTTTATTATTTGTTTTTTAAAATGTGTTATATAAATAAAAGGTTCTCAATTTCATTTGAAATTTTCTTAATTTCATTTAAAATTTTCTCAATTTCATTTGAAACTTTCCCAATTTTAATTGGAGTTTTCTCAATTTAATTCCAAAATTCTCAATGTGGGGAGCTTGAAGCCCCCACATGAATCAAATAGAAAAATTCGTATATCTGAGAAACTATTAGAGCTAGAATCTTCAAATTTTACATGTAGAACTTTGAAATTCATGTGAACATTTAAAGCATAAGAGGCGGACTTTCAATGGGTGGCTTGGCACAACATATATAAATTCAATACAAAATTTCGTGCATCTTGTAAATTCTTCTATTATTAAAATTTTTTATTGATAGATAGAAATTGGCGATAGATAGAAACTGGCGAACTCGCAATAGTTTACTTGACATCTCTCATATGTAACGTATTACAAATCTGGAAAACTATTGTGGTTAGAATCTTCAAAATTGTTAAGTAGGATTTTTATTTATACATATTCCTTCTAGGGTAGCAAAGCACACTAAGTATAATAAAATAATTTTAAATTTTATAGATAATTTAATGAAAATAATTTATAATTTGGTTATTTCCCGGCTTATAGCGATTTTTTTAAATCGCTATAAACCGTTCCAAACAACCTAGGTTTTTCGCTACATTGACTATACTAAATAGCAACAACATGACAGTGCAGGTTCACTATCTGTCTCTTTTCCACTTGCACAAGGTATTGAAATGTAATTTGTATTTTTTTGTGATAAAATTTTGTTGAAAAACAATATTAAATGAAATTTTAGAATAAATTGATGTTATTATTTGTAGTAAATATAAACAGATATATTTTTGGCGTTTGGTTTGGTTGCGCATTAACTGTTCTTCTTGTTATGTTCCTCTTTGCCTGCAAACAAAATCTTGTTTTTTCACTGTTTTATCCGTCAATTGTTTTAAGAAATTATTTGTTGTAGTGTGAACATCGGGCAAACAAATTTTCACTATTTTTACTGAATTGTGTTTGGCATTGTTTCTTCAAACAAAACATCAAAACAGAAATACTAATTTTAAGCACATTATGAAATAAAAACGTATTTAATATTTTGTTTTTAGGCAAAAATTTCTATCAAATTGTAAAAAACTATTGTAATTTAATTAAATAATTTTTTAACGTTAAACAAAAATGTTTCGTGTTTTGTGTTCACATTGTGTTCATATTGGGAAAATATTTATAGGTTGACAAATAAAAATATTTCACGAAAAACAGCTGATATTTTGTTTGCTCTTCAAAAATATTTTGTGTTCACATCACAGCCAACAAATATTTGATAAAAAACATCAAATATTTCATAGGTGTGAACGTAGCTTTAAACATTCGTATGGCTCTCTTCGTCGCATTAGATCAGGGATGTGTTTTTATGTAAACTCAAAAGTGAATCAGCTGTTTCCATCTTACTTTGTTATTGTTTTATACCAATCGTGCAAACACAAAAAGTATAAATCATACGACTTTTATTCTCTTTATACCCCACACCACTTTAGTGGGGAGGGTATATTGGGTTTGTGCTGATGTTTGTAACATACAAAAATATTCGTCCTATACCCACCTTAAAGTATACCAATCGGCTTAGAATCGACTCAGAAAACGATTCTAAGCCGATCCGTCCGTCCGTCTGGCTGGCTGGCTGACCATGTAAACCTTGTGCGCAAGGTACAGGTCGCAATTTTCAAGATAATAATTTATATAATAATAATTTGGCATGCACGCTTTTTTTGGCCCAAGGACGAAGCCTATTGAAAATGATTAAAATTGGTCCATTATTTCACCTAGCCCCCATAGAACAGAACCCCCCGAAAAGGGCTTCTGAGCTCATAATTATGTTAAATATACAGGTATATCGATAAAATGCGGCACAAGTTTTATAGAAGTCCTGATAACCCTGCCAAATTTCGTAAAGATCGGGCCCCATTTGACCCTAGCTCCCATACAAAGTCTCCTTCAGAAAACTACTTGAATGTCCAAAATTAACTTATGAACTTATCGCGATGAAATTCAACAAAGTAAAATATTATGTAAATATAAATATATTCACTAAATTTTATCGGGCTTAGTCCATATTTACCCCTAGCACCCATATAAAGCCTCTTTCAGAAAATTAATTTTTCATCCATAAATTGCTTAAATATATCGGAACAAGGGAATATTGAAGATAAATGCTTTATTATGAAAAATAAATCACATTTAATATTCATAACTGGTGTAGGGTATCATATGGTACGCCCGACTATACTTTCTTACTTGTTTTTTTTTTTAATACGGATGAAATTTCATCTTACTTTTTCATTAGACTTTACGCACGTAAAGTGTGATATTATTTTGGTTTTAGCTTTCTCAATTTTTAGTGAAGTAGCTTTGTAAATGCTTTGAAGAGTTTAAATCATGCTTTAAAGGAGCTAATGATTAGAAATCCGAAATTTTAAGTATTAATATTTTTATAGCTTTATGAAATTAAAAATTTTAAAGGTAATTTTTTACTGTTTAAGCCTAAAGAATTTTGAAAAGAAGGAAAATGTGTGTTTTTGGTAAATTTTGTGAAAGTTGTTCTGAAT